TAATTGTACACATATTAAGAATACTAAAACCACACATCTCTAAAATAGTAACAAATACAAACTCCGAAAGAAAAGGCTTACCTCTCTATTGTTAGCCATAAAATTTCCACAACCTGTCTAGCATACTGCGGGTCATCACAGATTAAGATATTGTCGAAGCTGAACCAGCTTTAACCTGAAAATTCAAATTATCAACATTATCAGGCTTCGAATAGACAAAACATAGCTAACTATTCAAGTTTTACTTCAGGTTCTGACCATTTGTGAGACAATGGTTTACTGCTATTATGCGCAACTTGAGAATCTGATCTACATTCGACTATTTTTTCTTTGCATTTGGGAGACAAAAAAGAAAGACATTACACATTTGGGAGACAAAAAAGGAAAGACATTACACCAACCTGCCACACTTCAATGCCCACATACTTGATTGGTTTCAACACATAAAGATCAGGATCATCCTCAAATTCTGCAGTAAAAGGGAAACCGAAGCTAGATTCATAAATTGGAGCTGTAGCTCAGGATGATTGATGAATTGGGAAGACAAAAGACGATGGCAAAACTAAATGCTGCCAATAAGTTTTTGGCATTTCTCGAAGATTCACATAGTTCACAGTTCACACATATAAACTAGACTTCACTAGAAGTTGAGCATCAGAATTATATATAAGATTACCTATAGTCTAGTAAATGTAAAGGAAGTCACAGGAGTGTCACCACCAAAAATATCTGATTTGCTTGTAAGATCAAATTATGATCTAAATTATCTGGCTACCATAAAAAATTAGTAAAACTACAAAGGAACCATTTTATAAACTAACTTCATGTCTAATCCGACTCCCCTAATCCCACAGCATTTGGAAAGACTTCTTAACTATAATATATTTGAGTCAATGAATATAGTTAACACGTGGTAAATTGGCTACTTTGTGCATGTTTAAATTACTATATAATGCCTCAGATGCATAAGAGCTTAGCCACTTTTCTTTATTACCCATTTCTTAGCCACTTTTCTTTATTACCCATTTAATTCTTTAATGCTTAGTTAGGCTAATGTCAATTTTCTCTACTTTCAGTTTAACTGATATCACCCCAAGTCTACCTGGGTTATCAATCCATGGAATCTTCCACTTTCCCTTGTAGTTGGGGTTCTTGATTTTCTGCGCCACACAAATTTTAAAAGAAAAATTAGAAATCATGTTCCAAGAGGATGCATAAAAGTTTAACATGAGAAGCTTAAAGTACCTTGCGTTTCCAAGGTCCTTTGTATGCGGGATTAGGAATTTTGGTGGGCTTCCATATTCCATCGTCTTCCTCATCCCAATCAACTGGCTACTCAAAGAAAAATCAAAACCAGAAATAAAAGCAAATATCATTCATAAGGCCTCCAATATAATATTGCTATTGCTGCTAATATGATCCTACTATAATCAACTTTTTTAAATTGTGTATGAGCATGAAATAAACCTTCTTGGCTTTTGGATCAGGAATTTCAGCTGGAATGGAATCATATCCCTGTGATAGTAAAAAAACACACAAACAAGAAATAAAGCAATGGCAGAAAGCTAGACAAATAAAAGTACTTAATTTGCAATCTTTCTACCCCTATTTGGGTCATATTGCTTTGTTTGGTTGAATTGATATCTTGCATCAAAATTTGATTAGTTCTTAGAACACACTCCCTTATCTCATTCAAAGTAAACTTGTTATTAAGGCGATAATCAAACATCTTTAGCTTACTTGGAATAACTGTGTGCACTTGATTTGACCATATTGATACAAGATTTCAGTGCCAAACAAGTCTCTCCACCCCTCCAATAAGGGATTCTCATCCCTTGTTATACAGCTCTATGGGCCATTAGCCTTGACTCAATGGTTGAGGCCCATCTTGCTACGGCTACAAATGTTGTTCTTTGGTGTGCTTGGCAAGAAAGGAAAGCTAATATATTAAAATGTCCTTCCCAGTTATTAGATTTGTTGGTAAAATAGGATCGTATTTAAGGCCTTATATTGATAATCTTGTTTGTTTCAACTTCGCCTTCTTACATATCTCTCTTAAGGAGGATAACTTCCCCATCACTTTAATGATCCTTTCTTGCCCATGATAGTTATTTCTCAGAATTCAGGAAAACAAATGTAGAACGCAACAAGAAAATTCATATTATAATAGGTGCTAAATGGAATTAAGGTCTCTCCTGTAAATGCATGCACCAGCAATGATGCAGGTGATATGATAATCAAGATGAAAATTACCTTTGGTTTGACATCATTAGGGTCTTCGATGTACTCTCTATCATCCCAATCAGATGGCTACAAAAATGAAAACAAATATTTTTACATGACAGACAGATTGAAAGATAAGATGCATAAAGAGATTCAAACATCTGCAATCAATTAAACAAAAATATCCAAACTTGAGCTAAATTTTCAATGTTTTTTGAATGCATCTGACATACATTCGGTTAGTTTGCCACCCTTGCACTGCACCAAAACCTATTAATCACCCAGAGGTTGTACCTTTTTTGCATTTACATCCTTGATTTTACGTGGAGGAAGGATGTCCCAATCTACGTATATGCTTCCAGAATCTCTTTCTCGATTGTCAACCAGGATACTATAAGAAGCATCAGGCCTCAGAATAAATGTATAGAAATGAGTCAATTTGTCTGTTTCACACTGAAGATCCTTCTTAATAGGGTAATTCTGCCCCTGGTACGAAACTATAACATGGAGCTTCTTAGTCTGTGAGCCACATATATCTGGTCCAAACATAAAACTGCATAAAGCAAGGGCAATCAGCTGACTTAGCACCTCATATAATACAGTACAGTAAGGAGTATGAGATTAACAAGAACATCAGCAAAGGGCAGCAAAATTCAGGTCGGTGTTCAAACATTAAATAACTTGAGTTCCACTTCTACAGGTAAGCATGCAATGCATACATCTTTAAATGCATTAAAAGTAGCCAGCTATAACTATACAGTCACTTCTACAGTCATGAGATTAATATCTCTTTATTCCAGTTTGTCTTTGATGCTACTGGCCCTTCCAAACTTATTCTAACAGGGATAAAATAGATGGGAAATGCACCAGAAAAGCCCATTAAGGATAAAACAGACAAAAGGGGAAATGTAACTACTGTGGCTTTTTGCGGAGAGAGGAGTAATGAATTGTAGGGGGGGGGTATAGGGGTAGTCACCTAGTTGGCCCAGCTGCCCAAGGAGGGAAGTAGAAAAAGTATACATTGTATGTGTGGAGAGACTAGGCTCTCAAGTGCAAGCTACCATTGCCATGTTTTCTTCATTTGTTTAATTTCCTAAGTTAAGAGCTGTAATGCTGCTTATGCTAAGTATGCACTGTGGCATAAGATACTTTAATTCCATTTTTACATTTGGCTTCCAACAATCTTCCAAAATAATGACAAAATCTGCTATACACGCATAGTTTGTGCATTCTAAACTAAGTCTAAAATCACATCGTCATTACCCTGGTAAACAAGTACAATATTGGTATATACACAGGTGGACATTACTACTATAAGAAATAAAAATAAAAATATAGCAGGGTACCATAACTGTTTATCTCCTGAGCCTTCCTACCAGCCATATTAAAAGAAATAAATAAACGAGAGGACAGGGGGTACGACAGGGAGGGGTGGGGGGAATGTAAAAGAAACAGGATGTGCATAGTTCAATCAATGTGATTGTCAACAACAATGAAATATTGAGCTAACTTACGCATATCCTTCAAAATCAATTTTGTTACAGATTGAAGAATTTCAAGTTGTAAACTAAGAACCAATAAAAAGACGTGACATAAGAAAACGGCAGACCTATAAGGAGCATCACCACCAAATTTCTTCTGATTGACATAACCAGAAAGAAGTTTCAAGTAACCACCACCACATTCAATGTCCTGCTCAAATTTAATAGAATACTGGACCACTAGAGTTCTGTTCTTGTTGCTGAACTCTGGTATCTTTGCGGATATTGCAAAATGCTTGGCATCACTAAATGTCTGGATACCTGCAAGCATTACAGGATGAATAAGATCAACCATAAATAACAATCAGGGGAAGACCAATATACAAGGTTACATGTGCAAAGAACTTATTAAGAACGTAAATCTTTTTCCTTGTTCCTTTTCCATGCACCAAAACGTCCAGAATTTGAAACTCCAATGCTACATTGCATTAATCCGTATAATTTTATGCAGTTGAGTAAGAACTTTATAGATGACAATGGATTGATACCTTTATCATCGGGATCTCCAGACCACTTTCCTGCCGTATGCTTGAAGGTGCCTGCCTTTCCTTCACTCCTCTTCCAGTCGGATAAAACCCAACGGCCCTCCCAGCCACCTTTTTTTTTTTTTGAGAGTGAAAATAACCAGTTAGAAAAGAAGCGTCCTTTGTTGAATCAAGAAAACCAACTGAGGATAGCAAACATAACAGATAGATGTAGAGAGAATGCAAGATCATTGATAGTTGCTACAAACTAAAGCCACTGAGCAGGGAATTTAGTTTTATTGATATTTTGTTGTCAAACACAAAAACAGATACAACAGCATCCGATTGACAATACTGAGAGCAGAATGAAAAATGAAAGGCACAAAGTCGAGCACAAGTGAACACAAACAGGTACAGAATGTAATCGGAGAACTTCCAGCTACGGCTGATAAGGTCATATTCATCGAAACACCAGATTCAGGATTCTAAATTCGCATGGATCAGTTAGACAGCTAAACTATGGCTAAATAAAAGATGCAATATAAAGGCTAAATTTTCGATGAGTAAATCAGACGACCAAGTAACAACCAAAAAAGACGGGTTTGGACAGATATGAACTGGGATCTACTATTCAGATGGTTTACATTTTGTACGCAAACAAAGAGCCAGAGAGAAGCTAGTCAAAGGGAGTTTGGACGATCACCTTGGAATGTCTCCTCAAAAAATATCTCAGAGTAGGCAGAATCAAAGAGGAAGGAAGAGTGCAAAGCTAAAAGTAAAAGAAAGGGGAGCCCAGGCTTAAGATTAGACATCTCATTTCTTTGATTCTTTCCTTCTTCAATCTTCAGGAAGCAGCGGCAGAAGACAGTGCACGGAAAAGTTGCTTTAAATAGGACGTTTCATTGGAAAATTAAAATGTCAAAAGAGAAACATATTTATTCAATAAATAGCACTTTCTAGAACATCGGGTTACGGACGAATGGCACCAGACCACAAATAAGATCAGTAGGGTTAGCACACTTAATCAGGGAATTGGCTTCCCAACAATTTCTTTTTTTTTTTTTTCCTCTTCACGTGCTATCTTAACTTTTGATAAAATTTTGAATAGTTAAAATATAATAGTATTTTATAAAATTATTATTAAAATGTGAAGTTATAAATTTAAATTGTAACTTAACGTGTATTTAATTTTTAATTTATTAAAAATTTATTTAATAAAAATTAATTTAATAAAAGTCAATAATAAAATTTGTGTTTAGATATATTTTTTAAAAAATTAATTTAATAAATTAAAATTTATTTAAATTATAATAGTAAAATATACTTTTAAATATACAATTATAAAAAAACATTAATTTATGATTATTTATAATTTTTATTATACAAATGTTTTGGAATATTTAAAAAATATGATAAAGATTTTAAATAACATAAAATTTGATTTATAATTCTAAAAACTTCATCTCTAATTATTTAAATTTGATATATAATATTAAAAATTTGATCTCCAATTATTTATACCTTTTTAATTTATAATTTTAAAAATGTGATAAAGATTTATAATTTTTTATTATACATTAATGTTACAATTAATATGATTAATTATTTAATTTATAATATTAAAAATTTAATATCTAATTATTATTATTTAAATAATAATTATATTTTTAATAAATTAATTATTTTTTAAATAAAAGAATAAGAGAGTAAAATAACATCCACATCTTAAATTCATATTTAAAATCTACCAAAAAGTAAAGTTTCAAAATCTATATTTCAAATTCATTTCAACTCACTTTTTAAAAATTATTTTACTCTCTAAAAACTTATTCAAATAACTTTTAATATTTTAAAAGTTTAAAAATTAATCTCAAACATCAAACGAGAGAAAATCAAATGCACCCTTATACATTAGCTTGCAACTGCAAGCTACTGTTTCAGGGAATGGGGTTGGAGGAAGGCCCGTAAACTCTCGTCTCTTCTGAAGCATCACCTTGGCAAATTGAGTTGGCATTATTATCTATTTATCATTTTATCTTAGCTACTTCACCCTAAAAAATAAGCACCTTTTAAACGGATCTACATTCATACATATTTTCTTTATTCAAAAATATAAAATATTTTTTAAAAATTAGATGTTTAAAATTATAAAATATTTTTAATCTTTTGAAATGTAATCATTATTTTTTTAAAAGTACATTTATTGATGATAACTTTATATTTATTATTGGGTGTTTAATAGGAGTACATATAAAAAAATAAGGTTAGTTAGAAAATAGGTAACTATTTTATTTAAAGTGAAATTTAATTAAAAATATCTTATAATTTTTAACAATAAAAGTATTAAATTATATAAATGATAAGCATTAATTACTTATTAATCAAATCTCAGGGATAGCGTGGAGACTCGAAAGTCATTTTTCATTTTCTTATCGTCATGGGTCTCCATGATCATCATTTATGTGCTGTGCCCAATGTCGAAAGAAGAGAAAGGGAAACAAACGCTCCCCCCCATAAATGAGGGGCATGCAATTTAAAAAAAAATAATATAATTATTTCTTTTAACAATCAACATTTACTCTCTGCAATTTTGGAAGACTTTTTTGACCTAACTTTAGCCATTAAAAAGGATGATATCCATCCATTAAATTCAAAAGTTGCTTCTTACGCAAATTATATAATGATTTATTTAATAACAATTATTGATCGTTAGTAATAACTTATTATTAGTATTACCATAATCCCTCAGCCTTACACTGCACGTGCTATGTCAGTTATCTTACGGCAACATATTGATTTCTGCTATATCAGTCGAGATTTTCATGGCTTTTTGTATGAATACAGTTCGTACATATCAATGAAAAACTGCTGTTCGGAGGGTTCCCCCCCCCCTCTAAATTCATACCATGGAAATCTTTCCTTCACTCAACTTTTATTACAAAAATGACCGGATACTATTTAGCATGATGAGACATTCATTATATTTTTAGTTAAAATTATGGAGATTGAGTATTGATGGGGAGTCGATTGGTGAGCATGTGTGAGGAGGAAGGAAAGAATTAGGGAGTCGTATTTTAAATGAATGCTGGAGAAGTAGAAATCGATCGGGTCGGTTAATAAAGATTAAAAAAAAAAGGTAGAAGCCCTTGCCAGTCGTCGATTCTGATCTCTTGCCCATGATCTGCTCAAAAGCAAAAGAACAAACCTTTAACCTTCTCCCCTACGATCTCCATGAGTCTGTCATTTGTGGGTCTCATCGTCGATCTTCTCATCCCTCTGAGAGTTTTGTAGGCAACTCTGCTTCACCACCAACTCTGCCATTGTTGTCCATCGCTCACCATCATCTTTTTCTTGTGCTGGTGGAGCTGTTCTCGCGAGAGGGAGGCTGAACCACATGAGAGATAAAGAAGGAAATTTAAAAATGAAATGGCTACTACTAATCAAATTTCAAACCAACAGATTCATTGAAGGCGTTAGTATTGTCATCTCATCCTATCTCCCCACACACGTTTCCTCTTCCTTTTTTTTTTTTTTTTTCATTGAACCGTACACGTTTTGTTTGCTTGTCACTATTCACACACCTCACATTTCCAATTTTTGGTTAATTGAACTTATATATTTGTTATTTTTTTAAACCTGTAAATTTTTTATTTTCATTTCTTTTTAATTCGATGTTTATATTTTATTATTATTTTTGTCAATTTAATTTTATTTACATGTGAAATTTTTTTAACTGTTATTAAAATTATTTTTACATGTCATATAAATTATTTAATATTGAATATTAATAAATGTATTGACAATTAATGAATATTTATTTATATTATTTTATTTTATTATTTCGATGGAACTTCAATTTAACTCTCAATTGAATCCTTAATCCTTATGGTTTTCAGGACATTAATAAGCAAATAAAATCAAGCTTCTCATTATTAAAAAAAAAATCATGCCAAATCGTACACTTTCAACCAACAACAGTAATTATCAAACTAACAATCAAGTCTCCACATAGTGCAAATTTACTGCTCAGCTGCACTCCACATAATCCAAGGTTGATTAGACTAACATATACAGGATAACTAACCACTATTCCTTATAAAGCGAATGAAACGCACTAACAGATTCAACTGAGAACATCAGTGAAACTCAGTGCCCTTAATAAATCTTATTTCCTAAATTCAACTGACGATTACCATGACGAATACTCCCTACTCGTACAATAAAGATGGAGCCCACTAAAAGAACCAAAAACAGGAAAACCAATAATAATAACAACAATAACGAACGCTAATTCAACTTGATGATTCTCAACACTTATTTGATTGTTTCTTCTTCCCGTTTCCCTGTTTCTTTGAAAAAAAATAAATAAATAAAAGTCGGGTCAACTAGATAGATTAACACTTTACTCCTCACACGAGGGTGGGAATATTATTGGTGTGCCCCTGGAGGCAGAAATATGGAAAGACAAGCCGGAACGAGATGAATGAACGTTGAGCATCATCATGATTGCGTCGGGAGGTTTGTTCTTGGAAGAATGGAGTTGGCTAACTCTTCATTCACCTTTATGGGTAGAGGTGGCATTTGCTTCATCACCTCTGGCAAGTCATTCAAGCTGCCACCAAAATAAAATAAAATTAAAAAAAAAAAAACAGAGAGGAGAAGTGCTTTTAATTAGTAAGCAGCGTGAGAATAAGCAACAACAACAACAACAACAACAAGCCTTTATCCCACTAGGTGGGGTCGGCTACATGGATTGCAAGACGCCATTGTGCTCTATCATTTATTAAGCTTTTAGAAATATTATTAATTAAGAGATCACGTTCAACAACTTCCAAGAGTGTTCTCTTAGGCCTTCCTCTACCTCTCTTAATCGGACTCAAAGTTATATGTTCCACTCTTCTCACTGGTGCCTCCCTTGGTCTTCTTTGTACATGCCCAAACCATCTCAACCGATTTTCTACCATTTTTTCCTCAATAGGTGCCACCCTCACTTTTTCACGTATGTGCTCATTTCGAATTTTATCTTTACGTGTATGTCCGCACATCCATCGTAACATTCTCATCTCTGCTACTCCAACTTTATGCTCTTGCTGTCCCGTTAGAGCCCAACATTCACTACTATATAACATTGCCGGTCTGATAGCAGTACGATAAAACTTTCCTTTAAGTTTATTAGGCACCTTACGGTCACAAATAACTCCTTTAGCTTTTCTCCAATTAAACCACCCAGCTTGAATTCTATGTGAAATATCTCCACTGATTTCGCCATCATTTTGGATAATGGCTCCCAAATATCTCAGCGTGAGAATAAGCAACGTGGTTAAATCAGCAACGCATGTAAATTAACCATCTGTTTCTAATACATGCCAAATTGTCCTAACTTCACAAGAAAGACAAGACCAATTGACCAAATAATTTTTTCCATTTCAAGAAGCCGTCTACTTTTTTGCATGAACTTCAGCCCATGCACTCAAAAAAGGATTCCCAGACCCAAAGACCGTTATTCAGATGAGATAAAACTATTGGGTGGTTTTCAGCCACAATTAGATCTTTTAAATTATGGACTAAAATCAAAGAATGCCAGAAACTGTTAAAAGAACTCTTAATCTTTGGAGGACAAAAAACATTACTACACATTACCATCAGTCTTCTGTCTCAGATTAACGATTATATTTCATAGTTAACTGGGCTGTTTGCCTGAAACTTTCAAGTTTCAGCTCTGCTGTCTGCCAACATTCTGCCGATGTCTTAAGTGAAAGCATTAAAAATTAAGATTATAAGAGACCGAACTTAAATGCCATGCAGGCTGCTGCTGATTCTTGATATCTCACGTACACGTTAAGAAGCAATTAAATTTTTTTTACTCTTCCGATTGATTAACAAATCTGACGGAGACTATATAAGCAATATTCTTTCCAAAATTAGTTTCCTATTAGTGAAGGACTTGCTGACCTTCAGATGCCAGAAAGCAAAAAAAGAGCAATGCATAAATCAATCTTCATAAAATTTGAAACAAATGAACAGTGTTGTTATATTGAAAATGCAAGAGAAACAGTAAAGGAACTTACTCGTTCATAATTTTAAGAATGTTATTTCTTGTTTGGCAGAATAGATTAATGTTCTCCTGTATCTGGAAACGAAATGGAGAGAACAGGGAAAAAAATTACATCAGCTTTAGAGCCACCAATAATGCTCCTATAAATTCAATTGAAAATGATACTAATAAGACTAGAAAACAACTGTCTGGCATCAAATTTTCAATATGACAGCCACAGGAGACATTATGAAACATCCCAGCCTGCCAGCATATCGCTTGCTGTAGGTATACCCTTATCAGGTCCATATCAAAGTGCCTTTTGGTAAGAAAATGCATTAGTTTTCTAAAATTATTAAAAAAAAAAAGGTATTGTTATGGAATATACCTCGCTGTACCCATATCTTAAATTTATCAAAATTTACCCGGTTCATTATGCAGTTTTCAATACCATATGCTTACCTCTTTCAGTACTACACAAGGTCCTTACAGCAGTTTCACAGCCTCCTAAAAATACAACGATGCCCTTGTTGACTAAAATTCCATGCCATGCGAGACGAAAGCATGAAGGGGAAACAGTCAAACAACTTCTATAAAATTAGAAATAACCAGATGATTGTGACGGAGTACTGATTAATGTGGGATAATGGGTGATTTGGGAAGCTAGATAAATATTATTTTTAACTTATTTTAGATATTTTTTATCTAATAATATTGTTCAGATTTTATTTAGATATTTATTTGTCTAAATTTTTATTTAGATATTTATTCAAATATCTAATTATTTAGATTTTATTCAGATATTTAGTTCTTTATATTTTATTTAGTATTTTATCCAGATATAGATTCTAAGAGATTTCATTCAATTTTTATTTAACTATCTAGTTATCTAGATTTACTCAGCATTTTGGATTGTATTTAATATTATAAATATGCTAAACAACTTAGAAGCTAACATATCATAAATAAAATAGACTTTTGAGACTTTAAGTCCTTTAGAGATTCTCTTGAGCATGGCTATTAAGAAAACTATAGACCAAAATTCTGGTTCTACATTATTTTAATAAAATTACTCTCCTTACTTTTTCTATCAATTCTATGTTCTCTTATTAACATATGTAGTAAGATTTTAATTTCTTATTTTAATAAAGATTTATTTTCCTTACTCCTCTTTACCTATTTTGATTTGATATTAGAGCCATTTGATCCATGGTACCCACCCATTCTGCAAGCCTTCTTCACAAACCCATACTTTCACGACCCATCCCAACCTATTATCATCCATCTTCTAGAACAACTTTTCCCCGATATGATAGTAGAGATCCATAGCCATGGATTTTAAAGGCCAAAGATTATTTTCAATATTATCACACTTTTGAAGACCTCAAAGTCAATATTGCGTTGAGGTAGTTAGAGAGAGAAGCTCATGATTTCTTCACTTCCATTAACAAGCATACAATCCTCTATTAGGATGAATTAGTAGAGGTGTTACTTGAAAATTATACAACAACAAGCCTTTATCCCACTAGGTGGGGTCGGCTACATGGATTGCAAGACGCCATTGTGCTCTATCATTTATCAAGCTTTTAGAAATATTATTACTTGAAAATTATAGCCTTGCAAAATTCCAAAATCCAGATGAGTATCTCTACAGCATCAAATAGAAGAGGAGTGATCAAGAATATCACTTAGATTTTGCCAGGCGCTCTGCACAAGTTAAAAATTGGCCAAAACATTGTCTCTTTGGTGTCTACATCAATGCCAAGAAGGAGGAGTTAAAATTTACATCTTCAAACTTATCAAGAGGGTTTTTAGGGAATCGGACTCTATTGGAGAGATAAATAAAACTTACATCACTCTTATTCCCAAGATTGATCACTCAACCTACATGAAAGATTTTCGTCTTATACGTATTTGCAATGTAATCTATAAAATTATCACCAAGATTCTTTCCAATTGCTTACGTGCATGCATTAACCATTTAATTGGTGATGTGATCATCACCAATTAAGTAGAGTAGTAATAACAATATCAAACAGGTAATAATATCATAATTGCTCATGAGGTTATTCATTCAACGAGGAATAAAACAGGTAAAAAAAGCTTTATGGCACTCAAGATAGCTCTTCAGAAGGCTTTCAACAAACCATCTTGAAATTTCATTGACGATACTCTCAACCTCATCGAGATAAATAGTCATTTCAGAAATCTAATACAAGCTGCAATCTCCTATACATGTACGAGAATCCTTTAAAATGGTGAATCATCTCCAAAATTCAAACCTTCTTGTGGAAATCGTTGAGGGATCCTCTTTCACCTTATTTTTTTGTTATTTGTATTGAATATTTAAGTCACTACATTCTTAATAGCATTGATAAAAATGAATGAAAGCCCATTAGACTATTAAATAATAGACATCTTATTTTTCACTTATTTTTTGATGATGATCTGCTGCTTTTTGCAAAGCTTTCTCTTTCTCAAGCAATGATGATTCAATAATGTCTTTCTGACTTTAGTAATGCCTCAAGGCAGAAGATAAACACCAACAAATCTAAGCTTTTCTATTCCAAGAATGTCAATATTAATAAAGCTTCACATATTAGTGATGAGTTAGGAATTCTTTTCACAGAAAATCTTGGCAAATACCATAGAATTCCTCTTATCCATGAAAAGACCTCCAAGCTTACCTTTGCTCCACCACTTGATAAGATGAATTCACGCTTGGCTAACTAGAGGAGTCATTATCTGAACATGGCAAGAAAGTCTATTCTCATTAAATCTATTTTTTCAAATCTTCCAAGCTACAACATACAAACTATGCTCTTACCTGACAACATTTTGGTTGAATTGGAAAAAATCTCTAGTAATTTCCTTTGGGATTCATCCAACAGGAGCAAAAAACCTCATCTTCTCTCCTAAGATTGCATTACCTTGGGTAAAATGATTGGGGGTCTCAATCCTAAAATAGATCAAGAATTAAAATATTGCATTCATCATGAAGCACTGCTGGTGTCTCATCACTAAACCGAATTGCCTCTAGGTTCAGGCCTTACATGACAAATACAAATGCAATAAACTGACAATTCTTTTGGTAGTTAAACCAAGCTCTTGCTCTTATACTTGGAGTAGTATATGTAAAGTTTAGGACAATTTCATGTTTCATGTCAACTGGAAAGTTGGCAAAGGAAACCAAATATCATTGTGGTATCATAAATGGGCTCCCTTCCTTGATCGCCTTGTTAGAAATGCTTTGGCACAATGCTGACTCTATTCTTGATGCTGGGGTCTCTAATTTTTGCAATACCTCAAGAGGATGGAATCTTGATTTATTACAACGCTACCTCCACTCTGATGTGATAAGTCAGATTACGCTTGTGCAACCTCCTACTCAACAGGTCGAGGATGGCATTCTTTTTTAGAGGCGCTTCTCTAATAGTAACTTTTCTTTCAAATTTGCTTACAAAGCTATGGAGATACGTAGGACTAAAACCACTCTAACATCTAGTCGAAGATTTGGAAATAGCCCACTTACAAAAAAATAAAATATTTTCTTTGGAAAACTACTTGGGATCATCTCTAAATAAACTATATGCATATTAATGGAGATACTCCTCTACAACATACTTGCCCTCTTGGTTGTAACTCTCTTGACTCTTCTATTCATATTTTATATGATTGTAAGGAAGCCCAACAGATTTGGAAAAAATTAGTTACTCTTGCCAAACTTAATATTTTCTTTTCTCTATGTGCAAGATTGAAAAATTTGAAACGCTAAAAATGAAGCAAGTATGAGTATAAGAAGAACACCTTTGCAAAGACTTTTTGCTCACGCCTCTTGGACAGTGACATTGCATTCTCCAGCACTCAACAGATTATCAATGACCTAAAGCTTCAATCCAAAATCAACCAAGTAGGTGAAAGAGACACTAGATATGAAGCTAAATAGAGCCCTCTAAATCTTAGGTGGGTTAGAATTGACATCGATGGCTCGACAAGCATTAACAATGCTGCTGCCTGTGGAGGCATCATCAAAGACAACAAGGGTAATTAGATTAAAGGATTTTTCAAATACCTTGGCTATATCATCCTGGCACAGCTAGGGGTGAGCAAAACTGAACAAAAATCAAAAATCAAATCGAATCGAATCGAATCGAATTTTATTATTTGATTCAATCTATTCAATTTTTCGATTCGATTCAGTTTAAAAAAAAAATTTAGTTAATCGATTCGACTTGATTAGTAAGATTTAAAATCGAATAGACCAAACCAACCAAGTTATCATATATATATATATAAAAAACTTATTAATTTATAAATTATATTTAGTTTATTAATTACATTATTTTATTCTTTTTAATTTTACATTTAAATAAAAGTATATAATCTAATAAGTTGATACTCTAATCCCTCATTCACCCATTTTCACTCTATCCACTGCATGAGTCATGACCGCGTCCTCTTCTTTGTTCTCTTCTTTGTTGCAAGCAAGAAACCCTCGGAGAGAAGGATAAGGTAGAGCAAAGGAAAGGCCATCACACCGCCGCGCCCCCACCCATCACAATAGTCATCAAAGTTTTTTGATTTCTCTACCTACAATCTTTCATATACCTTCTCGTTCTCTTTATCAGAGTATTTTGTTTTCTACGCACAATAAATCAGAGTAATTTGTTTGGTTTAACTTCCTAACGAAATCTTGTTTGCTTACAGCTCCAAAATTAGCCCTTTTGTTTGGTCTCCATTCCCAATTAGCAAATAGTGTTTGTATTTAGGAATTAGGTGGCAAATGAAATCCCGAACCTGGAAAGAGTCAGGATTTTGTTGGAAACGAGTGCATGAGATCATTAGTGAATGATTTTTCTGCTTTTAGGGATATAAATTGTCACATGCTTAATGTTTGGACTGTGTTTTTCATTTTTTTAGAACCTAAAGTGGTGGAATTATCCTTTTTGAGCTTCCATGTTTTTCATTGTTGTGATTGAAAATTTAGCTTGGCAGAATTATCCTCTTCCACATTGCTTACTGCTTGTTAGGTTGAATTTGTTGCGTTAAATCTTAATTTTGATGTAATATATGTGTGTAATTAAAATGGGCTACTATCACTTTACAAGCCCAATTTTATATATAAGCCTTGTCTGTTTTAGTAGAAAAAATAAAAAAATTGGCCTAAGTCTAGACAGCCCAACATGAAGCCCAAAGATCGAATTAACCAACCAAATCAAATTGTAAAATTTTGGTTTGATCCTTGTTCAATTCAATTCGGTGCAAATTTTTAGCATTGTTCGGTCGATTGGTTTTACACATTTTAGCACTAAACCGACCGATGCTCACCCTTAAGCACAGCAGTGGAGCTCATGGAAATCCTATAAGGTCGTAACCTTTGCTAAGAGGAGAAGTTCTCCAAAATTAACATCAACTCTGACTCTAAGGATGCTCTGTCACTCATTAACCGCAACCACTCTAATAACCATCCACTTTCAATGATTGTAAGGAAAATTAGTGATTTCACTATAAGGGGACTGAATGGTTATTCTTGACCAAGTTTACAGAGAAGCAAACAAATATGTTGATCTTATAGTTCACCAAACATGCCAAGGAAATTTTGACATTATGATCTTCAATAAGCCACCTTTTGATTGTAGTCCAAGACCTGAATTTTAAGTCTTTGCATGGTTTTTCTGTGGCCTTTTATTTTAAAAAAAAAAATCTAAGGAAAGAATTCCTAAACCTAAAACAATTTATCAAGCAACAAGATTAGCCCTTGAGTGCAAGATAAAAGCCCAAAGTCCTTGTGGGCCCAAAGCTACCTTTCCACATAGTCAAACTAAAGCCTTGACTGCTTCTTCAACACTCACAAACGCATAGGGCTTTAAAGATTCAATATTGCAGACATCATCTCACTCCTCTAAATTCTCTTTGACCCCAAATCTTCTAGCTTCTCCACTAGACAAAACATCATCATTCTCTCCATAGGGCCTTCGGCAACAGCATCTTAGAGACAAAAGGCTTTGCTTCCGATGTTGTGAGATCAATAAGGTTGGCAAATCCATATCCAAAGATATAGAGACCAATATTGCTGGAGAAATAGAGTTTAAGCAAGTCAAACTTTCCTTCAAAGCTACTCTTGAAAAGTTGAAAGCCACTTTAAAACAGTTGTATCCAAGCAAAAACATTGTGTTTATTCTGTTGGATGATGGGTCTACTTTGTTGCTGTCTCTTATTCACACCATGCATGAATTTTGGAGTCCGCATGGGTTTATGTGATTAGAAGAGCAATTTTTGGTGTTTCGCCTTGAGGACAAGGTGAATTTTCAAAGGGAGAGTATTGATAAAGCACCGATTAATGTGGGATAATGAGTGATTTGGGAAGTTAGACAAATATTAGTAATAAGTGTAAGTTTTAATTTATTTTAGATATTTTATATTTAATAATATTATTTAGATTTTATTTAAATATTTAGTTGTCTAGATTTTATTTAGATTTTATCAAAGTATAAATTTTAGGATATTTTATTCAGTTTTTATTTAATTATCTAATTATCTAAATTTTACTCAGTATTTTGGATAGCATTTAGTATTATAAATATACTTAGCAACTTAGAAGCTAGCGTATCATGAATAAAATAGACTTTTAAAACTTTTGAGCCTATTGAAGATCCTCCAAAGCGTGGCTATTGAGAAAAGTATAGAGAAAAATTCTTGTTCTATATTATCGTAATAGAATCACTATTCATATTTTCTTCTATCAGTTCTATGTAGTACGTTCTCTTATTAATATATGAAGTTAGATTCTGATTTCATATTTTAATAAAAATTTATCTTCCTTATTTCTCTCCACCTATTTGGGAACCTATCAGATTGCCTATCTAGGGATTGGATACCAAAAACCTCTTCATGCATTCTATAGTTCACAGCTCCAAGTCAAATGAATAAATCCACTGTCAGTGAAGTGTGCCACTAAATAAAGAAATAAAACCTACTCAAACATATTCACATCTTCAACACTTGCTTAATTTTGGTTCCAATTAAACTGAACAAGGTTTAAGCTAGCAGTTATTAAAGCAAAACCTCAAATCCTCTGAAAGCATCTAACAATTCTCCGCTGCAAGGTTAAAATATAGAAAAAGTATAGAAAGGAAAGGGGGAAAGGCAAGTTCTAGTCACAACATCCGTGAAATTGACTCATCAAATTGATAGACATATTATTGTTGACCTCAATAAAACAAGTATAAAAGAACATGGAGGAAAAATAAGACTCAGACACTTATAGTACGTATCTACCTATTGTCCTGGTCGGCACAATAGATACAAACACATAAATGACAATTCTGATTAAAGCCGATTTTCCTTTGCACAAAAAGCAGAAAGAAAGAAGGTCAGAAAAAGGGCATCAGCTTACCTGGAAAGCAGCTAGATTTGCAGATATTTGATTCAAAGCCTGTGCATTTTGCTCCAATAATTCACCTGTGGGACCTCCAATAGCTGCAAGAAGCCCAAAGAAATTTTCAGACATAAAACAAGTCAAGTAAACATAAAGAAATGCAACTACAAGAGATCCCTTTAAAAATAAGCAGAATGTCTAAAATAGAAAAAAGCCTCTATTGTCATGTTTGAAAACCCCAAAAATCCTAAGCTAATGAAATTCAGAAGGCATGGTGTCTGACCTTTGTAGGAAATGCCATCATCATTGTCCATCATAATCATTGGTGGAGCATATGGAGAAATATTAGACCGGGTGGCAAATTGAGATGACTTTGTCGATGGATCAGAAACTCTTTCCTAAAGAGAGACTTCCTTAACATCAGATGTTCCACCAAACATGAATATACATATAAATATTGAACTTAAAAGGATCCCGGATGGCATGAAAGCACTTTTTACTACTTTCTTCCATTCTTTTTCATAAATTTTTTTTCCAGTCATTTTTTGAAGCCCAAGATGCTGAACTTTTCCATGTTTAACAAGTCAAAAAACAATAAATACTATGCTTGGTCTATTCCAAAAGAATAGTGACTGTAACCATCATCATGCAGATTCTCTGAGAAATAAATGGAATGCTTACAAGAAACACTGCAAGAAAAAAGCAAAAACCCAAAGCCCACATGACAAAATAATGTGACTCAAACCAGTAATACAACAGAAACAATAAATAAGACAATAACAGCACTAAATATGAGAGGACAATGCTGAGGTTTTTATAATAATGAGCTGAATGAACCGAATCAGAGTTACAAGGACACTCTCCACTCCCATTGGCATTCGAGAGGCCAGTCTCTCTTCACAATTTCATTATCCTCTCTGACTCCCACTTTCCAAGCAAAAGACTACTAATACCTTCAGCATGGCTTACACACAGCCTATACTACCCAAAAGATCCAAATCATGACAAAAGATCACAAATTACTGTTCTTTACGGCTAGGGACCAAAGGATAAGTCCTTAGACCAGTTAAAATATTTCTACTAGATTTATTCCTCCCCTTTGACTTCCTCTGATATGTCTTAGGAAAATAACGGGCTCTATCACTACCCTCCCTAAAAGTTTCACTTTGTCCTCAAGGGGCAAGTTGGAAACTATTGGCAAATCATTTTTGCACATTCCCAAGAATTCTCAAATTCTGATAAATCTTGCCATTTAACCAACACCGCCCACTATCCATTCATAAGCTTGCGAACCTTTCTAATATCTTGAGGTTACACCTGCAATTCAAATTCATTAGAAAGTATTGAGGGAATGGAAGGTTGTACCACAACAACTAAAACTATTTGATAGTTTAACAATTTAAACTTCGACCTATCATCGTAGGGATGTGCATTTCGAGGTTCGGGACCTTGTTTATGTGAAACTTCGACCTTATTGGTTGAAAACCTTGGCTTGGAGAAGCTTAGCCCACGTTTCAACCAATAAGGTCGAAGTTTCACATAAACAAGGTCCTGAACCTCGAAATGCACATCCCTACGATGCTTGTTAGCTTGCACCTTCATTTTGCTTTGAGCCTTAGCCAAATTTTCCCATAATTACTCAAGGATCTGATTTTGAATCTGAATCTGTTCATTCACATCTTCTTTAGCTGAGGGTTTGCCATTAAATTTTTAAGAAGTAGGAGGATCCCTTCCATATACCGCCTTAAAAGGTGTCATGCCAGCCACACTATGAAGTGAAGTGTTGTACCAATGTTCAGCCCTAGACAACCATTTAGCCCATTGAGTAAGCTTTTCATTGGCAAAACAATGCAAGTAAGTCTCCAAGCTTCTATTTATCACCTCTGTTTGTCTATCGAATTCCAGATGGTAAGATGAACTAAGGCAAAGTTGAGTTCTAGCTTGTTTGAACAATTCTTGCCAAAAATGGCTAATAAAAACCCTATCTCGGTTTGAAACTATGGTTTTAAGAAAACCATGCAGCTTCACAACCTCAGCCACAAACTTTTCAGCAACAGCCTTTGCAGAAAAAGGGTGGGCAAGAGGGAAAAAATGAGCATATTTTGTGAGTCTATCCACCACTACTAGAATGGTGTCATACCGCTTTGATTTAAGGAGCCCGGTGGTGAAATCCATGCTAATATCTTCCCAAACACTTTGAGGAATAGTTAATGCCTGTAACAAACCAGCAGGAGTTAAAGCTTGATACTTATTCCTCTAGCACACCTTACAACTTGTCACATGTTGCTCGACATCTCTCTTCATCCCTTCCCAATACACTACATTGGACAGCCTCTTGTAAGTATGTAAATAACCCGAATGCCCCCTTATCGGAGGGTCATGGAACTCTTTAAGTAGCAAGGAAATTCTGGTGGAGCATTTTGGTAACACCAGTCTGCCTTTGTAGTGCAGGCAGCAATGGACCACGCTGTACCCTTCCACCCTTTTTTTATCCATGATGAGTTGCTGCAGAATTTTTCTCAATTTCGGGTCAGCCTGTACCTCTTTTTCCCAGTCTTCCACATCATCATACTGCCATAAGGAAAATGCCAGCAATTTCAGTGATTCTTCTTGTTTGGATAATGCATCAGCAGCCTTATTCTCTTTCCTAGGCTTATACACAATCTCAAACTTGTATCCCAATAATTTAGAGACCCATTTCTACTGGTTTTCTTTCACTACTCTCTGCTCTAACAAGTATTTCAAGGCCTTTTGATCTGTATGAATGATAAATTTATGCCCCAGAAGATAATGCCACCACTTCTTGACTGCCATGACAAAAGCCATGAGCTCCCTTTCATAAATGGAGCATTGTTGAGCTCGAGTAGAGAGTTTTTGGCTATAGTATACTATAAGTCTGTCTTGCTGTGTTAAAACAGCCCCTACACCAGTGCCAGAGGCATCAGTTTCTAACTCAATAGGAATGGTAAAATCAGGCATCGGAAGCACAGGTAGTGTGATCATAGTTGTTTTGAGTTTTTCAAAAGCCGTTTCTGCTTCCGTTGACCATTTAAATGAGTCTTTTTTGAGTAAATCAGTGAGAAGACTAGCAATCTTCCCATAATTCTTGACAAACCGACAATAGCATCCGGTCAGCCCTAGGAATCCTCTCAAGGATTTCACATTCTTAGGCTTTGGCCACTTCATCATGCTTTCTATCTTGGTTGGATCGGCTTGAACCCCTTTTTTTGAAATGAGATGCCCCAAGTATTCAATCTTGGATTGAACAAAGCTGCACTTCTTTGAGTTTACCACGAGCTGATTTTCTTTCAGAATAGAAAATACTGTCCTCAGATGCTTCAAATGGGAGGTTACATCACTACTATATATAAGAATATCATCAAAAAAAACCAACACAAACTTGCGTAAATACTCCTTGAATACCTCATTCATCAAGGATTGGAAAGTTGAGGGGGCATTGGTTAATCCAAATGGCATCACCGTAAACTCATAATGTCCCTCATGTGTCCTGAATGCTGTTTTATGCTCATCCCCTGCTTTGATTCGAATTTGATGGTACCCAAACTTTAAATCCAGCTTTGAAAACATTGTGGCTCCCTTCAATTCGTCTAGTAACTCATCAATAGTAGGAATGGTAAATTTATCCGGAATTGTAATTTTGTTTAAGGTCCTATAATCAACACAAAACCTCCAACTTCCATCTTTTTTCTTCACTAGCAATATCAAGCTTGAGTAAGGACTGTTGCTGGGCTGTATAATTCCAGATTTCAACATGTCTTTCACCATGTTCTCGATTTCATTTTTTTGTAAGTAAGGGTATTGATAAGGCCTGATATTTGGTGGTTGCTCTCCCGGTTTTATAACAATAGCATGATCCTTAGAGCAGGATGGAGGAAGCCCCTTAATAGCTTGGCAAACCATTGAAAAATTTTCCAATAATGTTTGAATTTCTGGGTTCAAAATTTCTGTACTTTCATCATTACTGGTCAAGCCATTGTATTCAATCAATAATCCCTCCCCTTTCTTCCCTACTGAACGCATTAAGGATTTGAAAGTGGCTTGTGCTCTGGTTAGAGTTGGGTCCCCTTGTAAACAGACTTGCTTTCCTTTATCACCAGTCCTCATCATTAGTCGACTCCAATTGACTCTCACATCACCCAATGACTCCAACCATTCCATTCCCAATACAGCATCAACACCACTTAAGGGAAATGGGTAAAAAGTTTGAATGATATTAAGCCCTTGTACCTTCATATAGAGATCCTTGCAACGCTTTCTCCTTTTCAAAGTAAACCCGTCACCTACTGTAATTTTATACTCAAAAATTTCATGAGTGAGTAGTTTCAATCTGCTCTGCAAATCCTCAACAATGAAATTATGAGTAGCCCCACTGTCATTGAGTATGATCACTTCAGTGCCCGCAATGGTCCCTTTGACCTTCATGGTATGGTTGTCACTGAATCCAGCCACGGAGTTTAAAGACAACTCCATCTGCGTCTCTTTTTCAGAATTCTCGTGACCTTCAACTTCAAGTTTAGCTTCAGGTTCAGGTTCTACTTCTTCCACCTCAAGTGTTCAGTTCGTTCCCTTCTCCATAATTAAAACTTGGAGATTTTGTTCTTGCACTGATGAATGGGGTTATACTTGTCACCGCACTTGAAACACAACCCTAGCTTTCTCCTTCTTGATATTTCAACATCAGATAGGCACCGAGAATTGCTTCCTTTCCTCGCTGCAGAACTCCAACTCAATGTACTCCCAGCCTTTGAATGCTCTGTTTTTGCTTTTGTTCCCCTCATGTTTTTTGTGGAGGAAGACACTAGTGTTGTCGCGTGCTTGCTGCCTTCTGTCACATGGGCTACACGTGCAGAATACACTGCTTGGGCCGAATCAAATCTTAGCCCATAATGAGTGCGTTGGGCTCGAGTTGCCTTAGACTCCTTACTTTCAGCCAGCATTTGATTTCCCTCATTAATACACACAGCCACCTCCATCAAGTCCCTCAACATGGTAGTTTTAGTGAGTTTCAGCTCAACCCTAATTTCATCTTTTAGTCCAGAACGAAAAACTCCAATTAAGCATTCTTCTGAAGCTTCCCTTAATAGTGCTGACAATAACTCGAATTCTTCTACAAACTCAAGCACAGATTTCTCTTGTTTAACTATGAATAACCTCTCGTACTTACCACCTGGTTGGGAGGAATGAAATCGTCACAACAGCTCTCCTTTAAACTTAGGCTAGTTGCTCAGTGGGATCCTTATATCGAGCCATTAGTACCAGTTTAACGCTTTACCTTCAAGACATACCACAGTTGCCTCCAATTTTTCCTGTTCTGCTACAAAATTCACGTGAAAATATCGTTCGACTCTGAAAAGCCATCCAATGGGGTCCTCGCCTGAGAAAACAAGTAGCTCTAATTTTCAATACTTGCCACCTCCTGTATCTCCCCCTGGGTTAGTCGCAAAAGCCTCCTCATGATGATTTCCTTCTTGTTCTTCCACACGTGGCCCTGGTATCCTCTTTTCTATCTGCCCCAGTGTTTCAGTAATTGCCTTCAATGTATCTTTGATGTCACCTACATCTTTAGTTAATACCCCAACTATCTCCTTCAACACCTATACTTCTTGGTCAGCATATTGTACTCTCTTGGCCATAACTCCTCTCTTAATTTACCTAGAAATCTCACTGCTCTAATGCCAAATAATGTGACACAGACCAGTAATACAACAAAAACAATAAATAAGACAATAACAATACTAAATATGAGATGAGAATGCTGAGGTTTTTATAATAATGAGCTGAACGAACCAAATCAAAGTTACAAGGACACTCTCCACTCCCACTAGCATTCGAGAGACTAGTCTCTCCTCACAATTTCATCATCCTCTCTGAGAATACCTTCAGCATGGCTTACACACAGCCCATACTACCCAAAAGATCATAATCATGACGAAAGATCACAAATTACTATTCCTTACAGCTAGGGAATGAAGGATAAGTCCCTGGACCAATTAAAGAATTTCCACTAGAGTTATTCCGCCCCTTTGACTTCCTCTGATATCTCTTAGGAAAATAACGAGCTCTATCACAAAACAAGGCAACTTTATTCAAAACGACAAAACCTAAGCAGAGTTAGAAGGATTGCAAATGAAATCCTAGGCTTTTAGATAAGAAGTCTGCATCTTACGTGGAGGTTCTGGAGAACAATTGGAAGTACAAGCTTTGTATGTGCAAACCAAGGCATGCAAAAGTCAAATACAAGAAACCAAGAAAATAAAGCCATGACTTATGAAATGCCATGCCACAACATGCCATCATCAGAAATGCGCAAAACTAGGGTTTTTTGCTCAAAACTGCAGCATTCCAATCACAAAGTTAAGGCTTCACACCCAAAGTTATGATATCACTTACTAAAGCATGGCTTGACAAACAACTATAGCTAATTTGACGAGTCTTCTATAAATAGCAGAAGAAGAAGCTAAAGGATGCAAACTGGATGAGAAAGAGGCAAAAAGCAACACACTCTGCGTACGAGAGAGTGTTGGAGGCTTGAAATTTAAGGTCACATGAATCATACTGTGTTTTGTTTGCTCCCTTCACTCTTGTGCATTTGGATGGTTCTGAGCTATATTTATTTCATCTTTGTATTGATTCTAGCAATATGTGGCTAGTTTTCATTATTCTAGGATTACTTTGAACCTACTTATGGATTTGCACCAATGATTTCTTCTCTTCGACTGCCATTTGATACATGTGCCCTCTAGTTTGTCCAACTGTTGATTGATAATTTGAATGTTAAAAATATATTGATTAGCATCACACAAACAAATAGATTTTTCCAAATTGAATAATAGGATTAATCACTTAGAAGATTAAGGGTAATGTAATGAAACACCTAATGCGGTGAGTGATTCAAAAAACATCTGTAGTTTACAATCAAATCCTGATTACCAATAGTATATTAAATGCATGGAAAAGAGACTACTGAACAATTGCAAAGAAATAAGTAGGGTATAACTAGGTTTAGGATCTCATACTTTTGCGGTGCTCACTTTTACTTTCCCATTTGCACTCCTTGATTTCATTCAGCTTTGAAAATTCAGTCTTTACTTGTTTGGTTTAAACCCTAGCATACTTGTGAGTTCACTAAACCGGTTCAAACAAATTTCTCATGGAATGATATTCCTTCTTTCAATTATATTATTTGTGTGATCACACTTGCCATATACACATTTCTGAGTGAAAGCTCTCATATCTTGAACAGTCAAAAATAAGAAATTGGAGCATTGAGCAAAGTACATCATCAATGAAGTGAGGATATTCAAGACAAAACCTACAATGACTCTCAAAAATTATTTGACTTCACATATGTGCTAAATCAGTATGACAACACAAACAACTGAGCAAGAAAGATGGAGCTAAGAGATCATTCAACACATAAGTTCTACAAGCCGCCAACGTTCTTGGAAGGATTAAGGAGTACATCTAAACAAATAATCACAAGATTAAAAGAAGGGGTGACCAAAATTTGCTACATTCATAATCACAATATCCAATAAATGAAAGTAGTACCTTTTTATCTTTACTTTTCCTTGTCAAATCATCCTTCCTTCTCTTGCTATTTTCTTTTTTCTGCCAAAAGTAGCAGACAAAATTGTCATATAAAAATAATTACATATTTAAATGGAATCTTCTAATTTCATTACAAAATTGATAGTATATAACCAGATGTTTATGCTGCAAGAGTGCCTCCGCCAGGTTTAATTGAGTTATTGACAGCTTTGACTTGATGGCTATAAATAGGTGATGCAAAGGTAAACTTACAGCTCTCAAACCAGTTCCACAACGTGATAAGCTTCATATTAATTACGCACTTGGACATTAATACTAAAGAAAGCTTATGACCCAATGATAACATAATCCCTTTTTTTATCATATGAAAGCAGGGTAATCAAAAGAAATCAATGCGTCTAGCACCATTCCAATGGAAAAGCAGACAATCAATCATCCACAGGCAGGCAAGGCAAGATAAGCTTAATAATAGTTATGACAATTTGAAACTAAGACCCTTGCGACCCAATATAACATTATCATTTTATTTAGTAATTGGATGGGGGTCGAAAAAGAAACCAAAGTGTTTAGCACCATTAAAACGGAGGAACCAATCACCAACCATTCCCTATTTTCAAGGTAGGCTAGAAGATCAGCATTAATTTTAAAGAAAAGAACATTCACAATCACATAAAGCTCAACAAAAATCCCACCAGACAAAGTAAAAGAACAGGTCAAAACAAACCCACTAAATGGAGGGAATACCACCACTAGATCAAAAAACTTTACAAAGTTCATTAAAAAGAGTTTGGATCCTCTGAAGTTCTATTCATAAATTTCTTGTAGAGTCCAAAAAATGAGAGAAAAGAGAATGTAAGAAAAAAAATATAAGTGGTGGTTCCATATATAGTTATACCTTTTGTGTTGTTTTTTCTCTAAAGTTCAAGAGAACTATAACAACAACAATCCTTATCCCACAAGATGGGGGTCAGCTAAATGGACTATACAACATCATTGTGCTCCATCATTTACCAAAATTTTAGAAACTGTTGTTAACTAAGAGTAAGTGCACGCAATGGAGTAAGCATCATTATAGATAAAGAGTGGAAGAAGAACGTTGTAGAAGTTAGCAGAATTGGAGATAGAATTATTTCTTTAAAAATGATAATTGGACGTGATACTATTAATATTGTTAGCGCTTATGCGCCGCAAGTCGGGACAGAAGCCAGTCTTAAGGAATTACTTTGGGAGGATCTGGAGGGGTTGATTCGACACATACCACAGAGTGAAAAGATTTTTATTGGAGGAGACTTTAATGGGCATGTCGGGAAGCTGGTCAGTATGCGAGGGTGCATGGTGGTTTTGGTTTTGGAGAGCTAAACAATGAAGGACAAACTCTTCTTGATTTCTCATTGGCGTATGATTTTAAGATTGCCAACACTTGTTTCAAGAAGAGAGATGAGCATCTCATCACTTACAAAAGTGGAGCCTCAAGGTCACAGATTGATTTTCTTTTGGTTAGGAACACAGATAGAAAACTTTGTAAAAATTGTAAGGTGATCCCCGGAGATGCTGTAACAACACAACATAGGGTCCTAGTCCTTGATGTGTGTATTATGAGTAAAATCCAAAAACGTCGACAAGTAGTAACACCAAGGATTAGGTGGTGGCAATTAAAAGGTGAGAAGCAAGATATTTTCAAGCGAAATCTTTTGGATAAAGGAATTTGAGATTCTCAGGGAAGTGCTAACATCATATGGGAGGATATGGCGAAAAAGATACGGGAGGTTGCAAAAGTAGTTTTGGGAGAATCGAAAGGTTCTGGTCCGAGAGATAAGGAGTCTTGGTGGTGGAATAATAGTGTACAGGACAAAATCAAGTATAAGAAGAACTGTTTTAAAGCCATACATTTGTGTAACAATGAGAAAAATTAAGAGAGGTACCGTATGGCTAAGAAGGAAACTAAGAGAGCTGTAGGTGAAGCTCGTTCTAAAGCTTTTGAAGAATTTTATAAGAGCCTTGACACGAAGGAAGGAGAGCGAAATATTTATAAGATTGCCAAGAGTAGGGAAAGAAAATCAAGAGATCTAGAACAGGTAAGGTGTATTAAGGATGAAGAGGGAAGAATTTTAGCTATAGATGATGAAATTAAAAATAGATGGGAGACTTACTTTTCTAAATTTTTCAATGATGAAGAGGATTCATCTAGTAACTTGGAGGATTTAGTAACTGGTGAAGGAGAACAAAATTTGTCATTCTATCGAATAATATGTGATAAGGAGGTAAAGGAAGCTCTTAAGAAAATGGCAAATGGTAGAGCCAACGGACCTGATTGTATATCTATTGAAGCGTGGAAATGTTTAGGTGAAGAAGGGGTGAGATGGTTAACTAAGTTATTTAATGTGATTTTACGGTCCAGGAAAATGCCTGATGAGTGGAGGAGAAGTACATTAATTCCTATTTATAAAAATAAAGGAGATATTCAGAATTGTACTAACTATAGAGGGATTAAACTCATGAGCCACACAATGAAATTGTGGGAGAAAGTAATTGAGCACAGGTTGAGATTGGAGACAAGTATTTCTGAGAATCAATTTGGTTTTATGCCAGGTAGATCAACTACAGAGGCGATTTATCTACTAAGGGGATTAATGGAAAAGTATCGTTGTAAAGATAAAGATCTACACATGGTTTTTATTGATTTGGAAAAAGCTTATGACCGTATACCAAGAGAAGTGCTTTGGAAAGCGTTGGAAAAAAAGGGAGTACGGATTGCTTATATTAAAGCCATACAAGATATGTATGAAGGGGTAAAAACTAGTATAAGAACGCCTAGTGGTCAAACAAAGGATTTTCCTATAAAGATTGGACTACATCAGGGATCATCTCTGAGTCCTTATTTGTTCAACTTGATTTTAAATGTTTTGACGGAACATATTCAAGAGGAAATCCCGAAATGTATGCTCTTCGCGGATGATATAGTTCTTATAGCAGAGACAAGAGAAGAGGTTAATTGCAAACTTGAGTTATGGAGGAGGACATTGGAGTCGAAAGGTTTTCGTCTGAGTAGAAGTAAGACGGAATATTTATATTGTAAATTTGGTAAAGGACTATTTAAAATAATTTGGAAGTGAAATTGGGAGATCAAATTATACCTCAAGTGGAAAAGTTTAGATATTTGGGAGCCATTATTCAAAATGATGGCGAAATCAGTGGAGATATTTCACATAGAATTCAAGCTGGGTGGTTTAATTGGAGAAAAGCTAAAGGAGTTATTTGTGACCGTAAGGTGCCTAATAAACTTAAAGGAAAGTTTTATCGCACTGCTATCAGACCGGCAATGTTATATAGTAGTGAATGCTGGGCTCTAACGGGACAGCAAGAGCATAAAGTTGGAGTAGCAGAGATGAGAATGTTACGATGGATGTGCGGACATACATGTAAAGATAAAATTCGAAATGAGCACATACGCGAAAAAGCGAGGGTGGCACCTATTGAGGAAAAAATGGTAGAAAATCGGTTGAGATGGTTTGGGCATGTACAAAGAAGACCAAGAGAGGCACCAATGAGAAGAGTGAAACATATAACTTTGAGTCCGATTAAGAGAGGTAGAGGAAGGCCTAAGAGAACACTCTTGGAAGTTGTTGAACGCGATCTCTTAATTAATAATATTCCTAAAAACTTGATAAATCATAGAGCACAATGGCGTCTTGCAATCCATGTAGCCGACCCCACCTAGTGGGATAAAGGCTTGTTGTTGTTGTTGTTGTTGTTGTTAACTAAGAGGTCTCAGTCAACAACTTCTAAAAATATTTTCTTTGACCTTCGTTTACCCCTCTTAATAGGGTTCAAAGTTATCTATTCCACTCTCCTCACAGGTACCTCCTGCGATCTTCTTTATACATGTCCAAACCATTTCAAACAATTTTCCACCATTTTTCCCACAATATGTGTTACACCTACTTTTTTTCTTATATGTTCATTTCAAATTTTATCTTTACATGTATGTCCGCACATTCCTCTCAACATTCTCATCTCTGCTATTCTAACTTTATGCTTTTGTTGTTACATTAAAACTCAACATTCACTGTCATATAACATCACTGCTCTTATAATAGCTTAATTACACTTCCCTTTAAGTTTATTAGGTACATTATGATTGCAAATAACTCCTTTAGTCTTTCTCCGATTAAACCACTCACCTTGTATTTCATGTGTAATATCCCCATCAATTTTTTCATCATGTTAAATAATAAGCTCCCAAATATCAAATTTTTTCCACTCAAGGTATGATCCGATCCCCCTATTTCACTTCCAAATTACTATTGACTAGCCTCTTATCAAAATTACAATGCAAATATTCCGTCTTACTTCTATTCAGGCGAAAACCTTTTGATTCCAATGTCCTCTCCCATAACTCAAATTTGCAATTAATCTCTTATCTTGTCTTAGTGATAAGAATTACTCCCTTCGGTCCTTATTACAGGACACTTTCAACCATTTCAAGTATCTTAAAAAAGTTAATTTTTTGTCTTGATACCATAAAAAAGTGAGATGTACTTTCATTTTTACCATTGACTTTAAATAATAATACAACTACATTAAACACCTTCACACTAATTAAGAAAGGATAAAATTGAAAAAAGTAATTTAATTATTACAAGGCGTCTTATATTTTGGACCAAAATTACTTATAGAATGTGTCTTATAAATAGGACTGGAGAGAATATATCATGAGTGAAAAGCATGCATTTACCATTAGAGGACTATAAAAAATCCTTTAAAAGATTATTACCTTGCCCGTAAACAATTGAGCTTAAAGCACACACGGCAACAAGAAGCAGCCTAAAATCTTCGTCTATCAAAGGATCATCATAAATCAGATCCTGTGTCCTAAAATGATAAATCATCTAAATGGTGCATGGACATCACTCGTACAAATGTTTAAAGGGAAAAAAAAAAATCCTTGTGAACTCAAAGAAACCATAGATTTTTATAGCATTTACAATAACAAATGGCCTAAGGAAGCAACAAAAAGTATCGCAGTGCTTACATTCATCCATCTAACACGGAGTGCAACATCCCGAACTGTCTTGTTCTGTAGTTGTAGGGCTATCTTTGCATAGCGTATTATGTTAGATTCTGAGGTGAACCTACAATACAAAATTTAGAACTAACATTTAATAAAAGACTACAAGCGGTACTTAGCAAATACAAATTACTAATCGAGTAAATGATACAATCACAGTTCAACAAACCAAGTGTATTTACTGCACAATCCTAGAGATGACATGCAAATCAAGCTTGCTTCCTGCTCATTTCAGCAAGGCTTTAAAAACCATTGACGCAAAAAGGAAAGAAAAAAAAAAGAATGAATGATGAATGTCACTGCAACTGCAAAGACTAGCATAAAATAAGAACCAAGAAACCTTCACTGATGCAACAAGAATTATAATCCCGATTTCATTTACGATGGGAAATGCACATGACTCATGCAGACTCCTGATTCTTTAAAATCTTGAAATCAGTTTTGAGGTGCCCTAGTTCCATGTATATCTCATGTAAACAGTATATCCCATGTAAACAGAAGTAACAACTTCTACTGGATGATGTCCCGAAAAAGCAGCAATGAATCGTTTTGAAATTAAGCCATGCATATCCAAGTTAATATCGGAATTGGGGATAGTCTCTCTCGTATTGGAATTTTAACTCAAGTAGCCTTCCAACAGTTAAATTAATAAAATATTCAACGCTACTATACTTCTTTAAAAACAAAGTAACCAAACAAGAGAAATGTGCAAAGTGAAACAAACCAAAAGGATGACCCAAGAAACAACAGTTCACCAAAGAAATCCAGCGGAAATTCTAGAAACTCAAATTTTATTACAGGGCAAGTGACGGCGGAACAGCAAAATTTTTACTCACTTTGCGAGTCCCTCATCAAGTATGGCTTGCTCGTCTGGCGTCCAATCCAAGGCTATACCCGGGTTGTGTTTCATGGCTAGAGCGGCACCTGAACTCTCCGGAGCGGAACTGCCGTTGTTGGGATTGGCACCACTAACACCGTTGAACGAAGACGAAACATGGGTTTGCTCCTGATGGTTCCCAGACGGGTTAGCCATCAAAACAAGCGTTCAAGTAATCCCACTGCAACTTCCGATTGAGATTTTATACGGTGGAGATATTTAATTAGCCAGGTATCAAAAATTGACAGTTGGTTCCCGCCAATTAAACGTGGCCCGCTGAGAGATTATGAGGGGGGGGGATCAGACAGAGAGACTGTGCTTGAAAACGATAGACATGGAAGGAGACTGAAGGGAGCACTGAGAAGAAGGAATGATTAAAAGTGGTGGACAGAGTGGGGAGGTGTACGGAAGTCAGAGAGGGTTTTGGCGTTTGGAGTCGATGGTGTAATGTAATTGCAGACTCCAAAAAGATTCTCTTTCTTTACCGATTTTTTCCCTCTGTTATATTTCGTCAGCAGCTTGTAACCCTCCGGAGATGCACTTTTCGTATGGCAGACCGGCTCCTCCTTGCGGGGCGTTCGATATCCTTGTTTTCAAAGATAGCATGATCCAACCTAATCTTCTTCCTCGTTCAAGATTTGACGGAGTATTGACCATCATCAATATTTCACGGTATCGGTAATACATTAATACTAATCATTGTATCAATGAAAAGGTGATGTCAATGGAGAGCAGCGTTCACATATCGCAGGAATTTATCTCTTACAAGATCAGTAATACTTCTTCTGAAATCATATCAAGCATTTTTAATAAAATTTTACTTAAAATAATTAATTATTTTTAAATTATTATTTTTTTATATAAAGAAAGCAAAAAGGCAAAAACAATAATTATTTTTTTTGTCTCTTCACTATTATTTAATATAATATTTTATTTTAAAATCGATATAATATGATTTATTTATATAAACATTACTAAAAAAAGTATATTAATTACTCCCTCTATTCAAAAATATAAAATATTTTTAATTAAATTTCACTTCCTAATAAAATAATTACTTACTTTTTAATTAACTCTATCTTTTCATATTTATTTTTAATAAACACCCTGTAATAAATATAAAGTCATTATCAATAGAAATACTTTAAAAAAAAAGGCAATGATTACACCTCAAAAAATCAAAAATACCTTACATTTTTTAATATCTAACACCTCAAAAAATGTCTTACATTTTTAAATGAAGGGAGTATATATTAAAATATTAAAAATATTTTTTATTTTTTAACATCTAACCCCTCAAAAAATACTTTACATTTTTCAATAATGGAATATATTATTTTGCTCCCTTATTAATATTTGCAGTCTTTAATTGAAATAATTAATCTATTGCATATTACTTTGTAAGTATGACTTAAAATTTTAAATTTTTCAATATATTATTGTATTAAACATTTTTGTAAATATAATCTTCATCCCTTCTATTTTGTTTTCATTGCAGGGTATATTTTGTTATTTATTTAGACAACATAAAAAATCATTTTTATTTGTGTATATGTTTATTTCCAACTATTTTGTTTATGCCATAGGATATATTTTCATCTCATGATTGTTAACTTCTACAAGATCATGCATTTATAATATTCAATATTTAATTACCATGCATCGCAATGAGAGAAAAAAAAAATTAGTTTTCAACTAGTAGTAACAAAATTTTTCAAATAATATGCTATGAAGAAAGTAAACAAAATCTCTTATTTGAAATTTAACTAAATCAAAATTATAGAAATTGAGTTTCAAGCAAGTTAAATTTACAAAAACTAAATGATTAATTTTTCTATAAAAATAGATCAACATCTATAATAAGTCACTTTATTCATAATAACATTTATTTTTAAGTTTCAAACAATATAAGATCCAATCCTTGACTGTCTTGCAATTGCAACGCCCCCTCCTAGAAAAATGTAAAGCTACTCAAGTGGGACATGCTAGTTAGGCCTTTTCGGAGATTACAAAGGCACGTTTGCTTGCCTAGTTAAGGGAGTTAATCAGTTTATTATGAATTCTCGAGTTTGCATTCTGAAATATATAGTTATGCTAAATAAATTTGTTAAAGATATTCTTAAGATACTCATGAAATCACCATTGATAATAATGGTCTTATGTGGTAGGGGTGTTGATTAATTTGGATAAGTGATGTAATACTCACATTTCTCAAGATACCGGGTGATGGAATAAAAAAAATTAATTGATAGATCAATTTTCCACTCGTGTGTCACGAGTAAAAGAATCATAGTAATAAAATGAAGTGGCTTGGGTAGATAGCATTATGGTCAACGCATTGCTTGTCCGTTAATTCTCTCACGTGGTTTTTGCTTCCAAGTCCAACAAAATATATTCTAAATGGTCAAACCAGCTTTTTAGAATTAAGCAGTCATTCTCATTCGGCATGAATTCTCCTAAAATCACTCGCTCTCTATTATCTTAGAGAATATCAAAGATCTCACAATGAGATATTGGATAGTCACTTTCTAACTAGTTGACTTGCTAACCAGGCGATACATGATAATTTAAATATTAAAACTTTTGATATTCCTTTGCTTGAATGTAGGAACCTTTTGCATTATGACGTGACCTGATTGGTTGTCTTTTGCCATGGACCTTTATCAATGGCCTTGTATTAAAAAAATGTTGAGAAAATAAATAATGTTTGAGAGGAAATTTACATCTTTCCTTTGAACTCATATCAATTGTAATTAAGAGAAGAGCTAGGGATCTAAATCGAATGCAATATATTGGCAGATCGTGCCATACATTTCTTTTATTTGAGACATTTTGTGTAAATACATGGAAGAAGGAAGCGACAAGGGTCCAATTCTGATAAGACAAGCTCAGTTTTGAGTGTCATATTCGTTAATGAGGAGAGAGTTTGTCTGTGCAATTTAGAGAAGTGCAACGAATCAAGATTTGCATAAGATCTCAAGATGTGGTAGTTGTCAAAAAAGACTTCACTAAATTTTATTTTGCTGAGCAGGACTTGGAGAGATTTAATATTGAGGTGTTTTGCTAGCATTAATTGCCCTTATGATTAAAAAAAAAGTTGAGTAAGGTCAAGGTCCTTCACTATTAATATGTCACAACATTCTTCATTGTCAATATGTCATAAGGTCTTTCATTGTCAATAATTCAGTGACAATATGTAAACATGGTCTTTCAGTGTCAACATGTTAAATAATGACATTCAGTGTCAAAATGTTAAGCAGGGTATAAATTCTTAGAATATATAAAATAGTTATTCGAATAAATGAAAGAAAAATTGCATTTCCTTAAAAGATAGTTGCATATTGTGAAAGAAGAGTTGCATATGATTGAAGATACTTGCATATATTCCTCAAACATGACACTAAATGTAAAATGTTTAGGATATCAAAAAGGTTATTCAAATAAATGTAAGAAAAACTATATGACCTTGAAGGGTGGTTGCATATTGTGAAAGAAGATTCACATATAGTTAAAGATATTTGCATATGATCCTAAAACATGACAAAGAGTGTAAAACTTTCAGGATATCAAAATTGTTATTCAAATAAATAGAAAAAGAATTGCATGTCCTTGAATGATAGTTGCATATTATGAAAGAAAAATCATATATGGCTAAAGACGCTTATATATATATTTCTAAAACATGAAACTAAGTATAAATTTTCATGACATCCAAAATCGTTATTCTAATGAATGGAAGAAAAGTTGCATTTTTTTAAAGGTAGTTGCATATCGTGAAAAAAGAGTTGCATATAGTTGAAGATGCCTAATTATAGTCCCAAAACATATTGCATGTTTTTAGTCATTCATTATAGTGAACGGTTGCAGTGGACACAACTAAATCTTAAAGCCCAAATTTGTATCTTGAAAAAGCAAATAGAGAGAATTTTTTAAAGTAAAAAATCATGGAGGCAATGGTGCTTTGTTAAGATTACATCGAAGTGTTTTAGAGCCTTTAAACTATTGGGTAAGTCTTATCTACTCTTTTCCTACCTCCTTTGGTTCGTTTTCTATTAGCTTTGAAGTTAGGGAGCTGATATCCTAATTTATAGTGAAGTTATAGCCTCCTTATAACTTAAATGAAGTCTAAAAATGTTATTTAATGCTTCTAACATTGGGTTTTAGTAGTTGGAAGCATTAAATGCCATTAATGAGGGGTTTGAGATTAACCCTAATGTTAAGTAAGCTAGTTTGAGCTAATAAGACTAGCTAATAGTGATTATTAGCCATAATGAAAGTTAAATAAGCTAATAAAAATGAGTTTTAGGGTGAGTTGTAGTTAATCACGCTTAATGATGGTATTAGACATTAATTGTGATAAAGGGTTAATTAACAACAATTAATCATTAATATTATTTTTGGATTATTATTGTAAATTGACTGTGCTCGAAGCTTATGTTCCAAAAAACTCCATTGAGAAATTCAAATTTAACTCTTGGGATGATAACCTAAGAGTAAAAGTAACCAAAAATTTAATTGAAGTATATCATCGTGTTTGCAAAAATTGTATTAATGATATTAATGTTTTGGCATGAGCAACTAAGAGCATGATGTTGAAATTGTTTAGCTTTGAATTTGATATCGAGTGATGGAGTTGTTGGATAGAGAGATGTAGCGGAAGATTAAAATTTGAAAGTCCCTATCCTGATATAGATCGAACGAACTCGTTTAAGTCAAGGTGGATAGAAGAGTTACCTTTTAATTCTTTGAAGTTAGCGCACGTTTGGATCTTAGGAGCTGACAACATAGATCTGTTCCTTCTACCGGTATCCATATGAACAGCTCTATAACTCAAACAGCGTGCTAGCGCTCTCAGCATCCGTTCTTCTTTAAACATTGATTTTCCTTTCTATAGAGTGTTTCATGGCTCTCAGAGTGTTTTTGCCGTCAGAACTTTTTTAACTCTCTCTTCCTTCATCAAGGACGTCCCTATCTATATATAGTATATAGTATATAGATAAGGGTCTTCATCTTTCACTTAAAAGTTCACAAAAATTTAATTAAATGTATCTCATAAATTTAATTCATAATATCATATCTAATTCAAATTTATCTTATAAATTTAAATTATAAAATTGACATGATATTCTCTTATATTATGTTAGTTATTAAATTTAATCTATCATGTAAAATTAATTTTAAAACTAAAATAATATATAATATAATATAATATAATATAATATATATATCACATATACATATTATATTATATATATATATACCACATATACATATTATATATATATATATATATATATATATATTATCTATATTTAATTTTATATATCATATACATATATCATATATATATATATATATCTGATACACACATACATATATGAATATATATATAATTATTTTGAATTTTATATTTCATATAAATATATATAAATATTTATCAAATAAATATTCAAATATATATAATTCATTCACATTATATTACATTTATTAAATCTAGACATTTAAATTCAATAAACTTAGACATTATAGCTCAAGTTAGGCTGTTCTTGTGTGTGATCCTGTAGGCCCAAATGAAATTGACAGTATGCTAATTATGCTATTAGCCCACAAGCCATAATTGACCTCTAGTAAGACATTACAACTATCCAATTCATATG